CCTTGACGAGCAGTCACTGTGTGGTGTGGGCAACAGATCGTGAGGCTGGTCGAATCGCGCGGTTCTGCTTGAACCCACCCATCCCCACCTTTTCGGAACAAGAGAACGCGCCTTCCACCACACGCCCGTGGGACCCTAACCCTAAGCCTAAGTCTTATCCTCACCGGCACCCTGCCGAAGTCCTCCTTCTTGAGGTAGTCGATCGGTGGTCGGCGGCGGTTGGCGGGCACGGCGAGGATAGTCTCCACCGCGTTGGAGGTGACGAAGTTCTTGGTGGAGTGCAGGCCCATCGTCGGCCGCTCCCCCCGCCGGGGGACTGGTGGTTTCATCCTTTTTGGGAACAGCACAGGGATGATGCGTAGATAAGAAGAGTTCACGGGGAAGAACGTTTCACACGCAGCGCTGCCGGTTGGAAAACCTTCTAAATTCTTGCCCCTCGAGAGTAACCCCTGTGTACAACATCAGCCGCTACAGCAGGCTGTGAGAGGTAGGTTATTTTGGGGGTTCTTAGCCGGGAGTCACACACTACACGTGTACAACTTGTTGGAAGTGGATATTGATTGAGCCCCACCTTTGATTTCCACAATATTGTTGCGGAGTTGGCGCACATGATGGCGAACGAACGAAGGAACGAGGGAACAACGATGCCGATCAGCAGCCGAACCGACATACAGATTGCACACACACCGATTCATGGACAAACAGCAGTGCGCCGAAACGGTTGTTAGCAAATACTGTATACAGACTGTGCGAAGTTCTCCACGTACGATTGCCACCACCACCACCACCACCGCCACCACCACCCGTTTGTGTTTTCGCTTGTCCCGGAGTTTTCAGCGGCTGGTGAGGAGAGAGCAGTGCACGTACACCCACCACCCACACAACCCTCACTTCCCCCGATGATCGAAAACCAATCTGCCCCCTACGGGGCTACACTCCCAGCTCACGTACCGTCGCCAACACCACAAGACCACAAACTACAACGGCGACAAGCACAGCCACACCCATGACAACAACAACATCATCAACAACAACAACAACAACAACAACAACAACATCCACAGTTCAACATGCACCGCGGAAAACATGTAAGTTTCCTCACCTCGCCGGCAAAAGTTGCAAGCCGCGCTTCATTCCCATAGGCCCTCTAGACGCCCACCCCGCAGGAGAACCGCTTCTCGCGGCGGCCCCGCCACCGCTACCGCCAAGCCCGTGCACGATCTTGGGCAATTCCGGCCGTTTCCCGGCTCTCCTCCTCGCCTCCGTGCCTTCCCCTACCCGAAGAAATTGTCTTGGCTCCATCGACCTCTTCCCCTCCTTGATCCCGACTGCAGCAGTCGGTTCGACGATCGTTTCGACGACACGCGTCACATTTGGTAGGATACGCTTGTGCATACAATATGGATGTATCCTATCGATATAGCTTCCCGCCTTTTGAGCCTACTTCCTATGCCCCAGTGCCTCAGTAGTAGGCTAGGAGATTGGGAACGAACCGCCCGAAGTAGCCGTAGAGACTATTCACATGTTGCCTCGAAACTTGCCGGGCATATACTGCATCTATTCTCTGCTGTTACACGCCCGTACCCGATATCGTTGGGTGTGCCGATGCGCGTTGATCCGTTGGGTATATTTTCCCTGCCCGGGGACATGCGACTAACAACCATGGCTTTACGAGCTTGTCTTTGACTAGCTGGCTGCGCGGTGGCGGATGGGACAACAAGACGGAACCAGACCGGAGGCGAAAGAAAGGAGGCTAAAGAAAGCTCTAGTGAAAGAGAAACAACACAATGCGCACGTTTTCTTCGTACAACGAACGACAGAAATCCAAGTACTCCACTCACACATGCCGCCTTTGGCTTTCCTCTGGTCAAAGGTCGAGTACGGTACTTTTCGGCTGTGGTCGAAAGTGGCCTTGTACATGGGCGGCTTAACCTGCCGTGAGCGAACATTCAGCCCCAAAGCGTGGGCCGCATGGGGTACGCCAGCCGACGCCGAGACGAAGGAATGATGAAGGAATGGGCACACAGGGAGTGGGGATGACTTCAAACCCAGAGTTGCTTTGGGGGAGGGGGGCTAGGGGGGCCAGGGTGGTCTAAAATGGCTAAGCCTCTATTGGTGAGATCGTTCGTTCGAACGCCAAGTAGCCCGACACCATGGCTGCAACACCTGCACCGAGGCCCCACGAGGGGTCGGGAACCTCTACCCAGGGACTGTCTTGTGCACCCCTTCGACTGTATACCTCGCCCTGTAACCGGAGGGGTACACCTTGCAATGCCCCATTATCGGGGGGTATGCCTTTGATGCCCTATGGTTGGGATTTATTCCGTCTGTTTGACCGTAGGAACACCCGTATCTGCTAGCTTGCAATCTACGGCCGAAGAACGCGCGCTCGCACCGACGCGTCGCGTGCAAATAAGCCCGTACTCTGCGCCGTCGGTGGCGCAATGACGCGTCATTGCTCCCTAGCACAAGTAGAGACGTGGTAGCGGCAACGTGTGAGGGATCGCCCACCCCGTACTCTGACTTTCAAACATCGACTACTCCACAGCCAACAGGGGGCGAGCGCCGACCAATACGTGCATTCAAAGCCTTGAAGAAATACTTCCAGCAACACACCCCTTTCGGAATGGCAGCCTCTTAGGTGTGTGGCTTTTCGAGCCATGAAAGTCGGTCTAGGGGACGTGCGATCACCGGTATGCTACGCAACAAGCCCCAAGGGGATACACGCGAAGTAAGCCTACGATGGGGTGGCAACAGCAACACTCTGGATACCTTGTTTGTGGCACCAGCGAAGGGTACCTACGCTTGGGGATGCCCGGCTTCTTACTCTGCAAAGCACACGAGAGCAATGGCCAACTCCCAGGGCGTGCTGACTTGTTCGAAGTCAACAATTCTAAACCTACACATAAGTTTGTTTGGACATGCGCTGGGCAGTTCATCACACCCGGAGAGTATCTGTCGAAACACACGTGCCCCCTCGGCATCCCTCCCTTCCATTCAGTCGAAAGGTTCCGCATTGGAGGACAGTAACGCACTACGCACCGTCTCCTCCTGTATTTTGGGTAGCAGATTGTAGATGCTCTCCGTCATTCCTCCGTCCACGCCAGAGGCTCCTTCTCGCTCGAATAATGCCGGCCGTCTCCCCCCGCCCCTCTCACTTGTCACTGCTGCAGGAAACATCTGGAGTAATGGAGTATCGATCTGCAGCTTACATGGTGCGGCGGCCCGCTCGTCCGACTCTCCTGCTGGACGAGTAGACGTACCCTCGGTCCTTCACTGGAACAGATCTCTGCGTCAGCTTTTGAAACAGACCGTAGTAGCGGCCGTGTCCGATGATTCCCCTCCCCAAGAACTTCCCGCTTTAGCCCCTGCCCTGAGCGGTACTCTCGCTGCGCAAACAGGCGGCGCTCCAAAGAGTTCCGTGTCCGTTTCTCGCGGACCAGCGATCTAGACAACCTCAGCTTTTGTCCCCGCCGCCAGCAAGAATCGGCTGCAGTGGCGGAATGCTGGTTGCCGCCAGCTCCCTGCTATTGCCCCCCACGAAATGAACTTGTAACAACAGTTTTGCCGCCCGTTCTAAATATATATTTTCCCTCTTGAGATTTGCTTTGGTGCTCGAGTCTGAGGATGTCTCGTCACCGTCTCGGGACCTTCTGTAGAGCCAATGCGTGGCGCTGCGGTGTCCAGAAAGCAAGACAGGTGCTTCATGTTTCGCAAGGTGGATTTCGACGTTGTGGGAGGAATTGCAAGTTGACTTGACCATTCTTATCGGGTCTGCCTCTCCATTCAATCAAGCAATACCGGTTGGTCATGTGGTTGGTGCCCAATTGAGGAAACTTCGAAGGCGCCTACGTAGCGCTACTACAGCCATCAGGATATGTTGCACATCATCACTGTGCTGCTCGTACTCTCACTCGAGTCCGCGAAGATTACCCAGTCATCCCAAACTACCCATGCCCATCGTGCGTGGTCATCCGACGCCAGTCCTAAAGTCCCAAATCATTTAGAGGCCTATTGTATTTTGAACGATCCCAGCTCCAAAGGTAGTACACTCCGGCTTTAGACTGTAGACTAGGTGTTTTTGCTTTTTTCTATCCGCCACCGCCTGTCGCACGCAGTAGTGCATTGCAGAGCCCTCCACTATAGCTCTACGCGTCCCATAGCTTGAAGGATAATGACGATTGTCTGTCGTAGAGCGTAATCTCTGAGCTGAGTGGCCTAGACTATATTCCTGTATGTTCTTCCGCGCAGCATACTACTTGAAACGTACAACCAACGTATAGTCAACGTGTACACGCGTGTGAGCGGTGACGGACATATGCACTGCTGTGTATTTACATGTAGTGTACATGAACACCTCCTGCGGGTACCGTAGCTTCTCTTCGACAACTCTTGCAACTGCCAGCTTTGCCACTGGCGAAAGGCATGGGCCATCGCTACGGTAGATTGTAGATGGCCAGGTTTGGAGGTACACAACCACCACCCTCACGAACGCGGGATTCACCATCAGCGATGAAAAAGTGGAGACACACGGGGTGCGGTTGGATGTGCACATACCATACGAGAGGCCCGCTTGCCGTCACGCTACCCGTGTGCCTGACAAGTTGGCGGGCACATATACCATCCTTTGAATATCTACGTTCTTCGACATGTTTCGTCTATGCAGGTCAAAAAGGTTCACATTGGACAATTTTCGACGGGCCCGCGGGTGTGCTCTTCAATGCAGGACGCACGTCAACACCAGATTCCCCTTGTGACTTGCACCACATACCTGGACCGAAGCACGTCGCACCTCACTCTCTACCTGCCTTCCACAAGGGGAACACACAGACACGGAAAGGAAAGATCGTATCATCACTGCATAACGGAAAGATCGCGTTCTTCGCACCCCCTACCTAAAAACGCCTTCCAGGAAGTCTGTAGCCTGCATGCCCCCACGCCCCTCCCGACGAGCAGCAGCCAGCGACCCCCCGCTCACAGCACACATCACCTCGCACACATCACTACTCTGTTACTACTGCAAGAGAAGTTGGAGGTGAGGTGCGAAGATCATCCTGCTGTGCCGTTGGCTGAGCTGGTGGTCGGTAGCCATTCTCCGGCTCCTCGTAAGACTGAAATGTTTGTGAATCTACTCGGCCAAAATCTTGCGTACCGCTGTAGACGCCGGGCCGTCTTTGTATGCTTGACGTACATGGCGCGCGCTCGATACTGCTGTGAAGCTGTGGGGGAGGATGGGCATCCACGGCCTGGAAGGTGCTGTTGATCATTTGTCCGAGACCCTTTGTACAGGACCGCTGTATGCATGTGGTATCTACTTCATTCATATACCGTCGAGGAGGTGGGGGTGTGTGACGGCTGCTGAAAAATAACGAATGATGAATTTCCACGGGCAGGTTTAGTACAGTACAGTATTTTTATTCCAGTATTTAACTGCGTACTAAAACGTCCAGTACAGTACAGTACCGAG